CCTTTTGTATCACCAAACACTTCTGTTTGCCCTGCACATGTGCATACACATGTCCTTCATCCCACCTCTCATCCTATGGCCCCTTATTTTGTAACAGCACAGCTCATTCTTCTGTATTTGATGTGTAGGTCAGTCCTCAGCCTTGGCTAATGCAAGGTGATTTCCAGACCAGACACAAAGTCTCATTATCAGTCATAAGTTAATTTTCCTAACCTTTTTAAAGTTTCATAGGATGAACCAGAATATTGAAATAAAGACAACAAAAATTAAGCATTACATTGCAGGACTAGAGAGATGGCTCAGCAGTTAAGAGCACTAACTAGCTGGGCAGTGGTGGCGCGCGCCTTTAATCCCAGCACTCGGGAGGCAGAGGCAGGCGGATCTCTGTGAGTTCCAGGCCAGTCTGGGCTACCAAGTGAGTTCCAGGAAAGGCGCAAAGCTACACAGAGAAACCCTGTCTTGAAAAACAAAAACAACAAAAAAAAAAGAGCACTAACTATTCTTCCAGAGGACAAGGGTTCAATTCCCAACACCCTCGTGGCAGCTCAAAACCTCCTGTAACTCCAATTTTGGGAAACTGGATGCCCTCTTCTGACCCCAGCAGGCATTGTATGTTTGAGGTGCACAGATATACATGCAGAGCACCAACACACCTAAAATAAAATAATCCTTAAGAAGGAATTATACTGTACAGAATAAAGAGAGGTATTTAAATTAAACCATGTAAAACAAAATTATCATTATATCTACATTATAAATTAAATGTGTTTCCATGCTGACTGTCCAGTATTTCTGGACAGATAAGCAAGATATTTCACAGGACTTAATTCAAAACTCACCACAGATATGTCAGCACCATTCATGCACCAACGTATTTATTTGAGTATTCAAATATCACAAGTGCTCTGCTTCCCATGGCTGGAAGGTGGAATAGAAAGTCTTGCAACTTTGCTTTCACTGTGAGCAAAGAAATGCTAATTTTCTTTAACTGGGGAGATTGCTCTCTAAAACAAAACATACGACCCATCTATATGTTAATAGCTGCTTGTTTAGGCAAATCTCTTAGGGTTTCTGTGACTATAAACATGTCATCTTACTTTTGACTTTTAATGGGCTGATTACCAGCTCTGACAATAAATATAGCTCTCACTGTAAAAGAATACAAAATATAATGAGCTCTCCAAGTAATGACATGCCAAGTTTTATTGAACATGCCTTAGAGTCTGATGTCTGTGATGCTGAAAGGTGACTAATGCTTTGTGGGAGCCATGCCTGCCTGCCGTAGTGTAGTGTGTTCAACACTTTCCTGAAGCAGCTCAGAGAACATGTTTCTGAAATGCCATGTGGAGGTGATGGCAGAATTTAAAACACACAATTAAGGTTCATTTAAATACAGTGACTAAAGCTGATTTAGCATACTATGATTGGTGTTCTTTTTAGCTGTAGACCCTACACACCCAGTAGTAGAATACTTGCTATTATACAAACACACCACACAGAAAGTATCCTTTTGTAAGATGTACTTAAAAGTTCTTTGGTGACTTGAGAGATGAGTGGAATGGTAACAAAACACCTTTCCTAGGAAGAATCACTTTACAAGGTTTCCTGTGCTCTGTTTTTTATTCTTTACATCTTCTGTTTAATCTGGTCTGGTAACGTCAGAGATTAAATGTGAATTTCAGGGCAAGCACGTAAGTTTGCATGGAGAAAAGGCAATAATGGAAACTAGCCAAAAGGGCAGAGAGAGCAAGGTAGAAGACAGATTTCACAAATCAAAGTTCATCAACATTAGTCACCTAAATATGGCAAGTTCTCTCCAGTTAGATTTCCTATTCTGATTCTTTTTCACTCAAGAGGGAATAAAGTTCATATGAAATGGAATTAGATTACTCAAAATCTTCCATTTCTTTTATTTTTAGGAGGAGCTTTTGGGCTATCAATGTGGTGGTTTGCAGCTGATTCATTGTTACTATATGAATTCCCTGCATCAAGTCTGAACAGCAAATGGCATCCCCTCTTTATATTGGAACTTGTTAAGGTTTCATAATCCCCATCTTCCAAGAGTTGGTTGGAGTAGAGTAAAACATGAAAGGGAGAATGGAGAGCTGTTTTCAGTGGGAAATGCACCAGGCCTAGGAAGCTGGTGTCCTTTCACATGGTTTCACATGGCATGCTGGAGTAGGCTGACATGAGCTCAGAGAGTTTATTTCTTAAGTTCTCAAGATTTCTGTGAGTCAGTTATCAAACATAACCATTATTGTATATTGAATTATACAAATTTAAATAAACCATAATCAAAACACAAGTACTAATATATCTAAAGTGCATTACTTTATAATTATTTTTGCCATATTCTTCTTTATCTGTGCTTTTGAAGTTGTTTATGCCTCTTATTCAGTCTGGATAGTAGGAATGCTATATAAAAGTTTACTTGTAACTGACTGAAGTGGGAGTAATTATAGCAAATACATTGAAAAATGTTACAAACTGGGATACGACTTATTGTACACTGAGCAATGGTCTTAATCAATTTGTGAGTAAATGTATTTCAATAATGCATACTAAAATTACAAGTATGTCATGTCTGAAACCACTAAATTGTCAAATGAAATTCATAAATAATCTTTCAATGTCTGAAAATTATTATACAGTTCAGAAAAAAATCTGGTCATGGCATTGATGAAATTCCAATATTGTTTCAGTGTCTTCTTTCTCCCTAAAGCAAATAAAAATATTAACCAGTATTCATATCAAAACTATGAAGTCAAGAGTTTGTCAAACTCAACCAAAAAAAAATATCTGCCAGATGTAATTTCCACTATAAACCCTTTATATAAACAATGCTATCATGTATGGTACAATAACGTAATAGAAAAAGTGTGTTGGCTTTATTTTTTATTTATTTATTTATTTTGTCAATTTGACACAAACTGGAATCATTTGGGATGCGAAAACCTCAGATGAAAAAAGAACTCCACCAGATTAGCCTGTGGACAAGCCTATGGTACATTTTTCTTAATTGATGATTGATGTGGGAGAGTCCAGCTCACTGTGGGTGGTAGCATCTCTGGGCTGGTGGTTCTGGGTGTGTATAAGAAAGCAGCTGAGAAAACCTTGGGAAGAAACCCAAGAAGCTTCATTCCTAATGGCTCCTGAGTCAGTTTCTGCTCCCAGGTTCCTGCCTGGAGTTCCCACCCTGATGCTGGTGATGGATTGTGACTGTACACTTTTGGTCATAGTGTCTTATTATAGCAATAGAAACTCTTGCTGAGACAACACATAAGCTTTCTTTTGTATGGGATCTAGTTCTTACATGCTTATAGTCACCCCTCCACCTTTACCATAGTACAACTTACTTGGGGGGAGTTTAATTTTATGAGTTCCTCATAGTCAAATTAGTGAAATGAGTATCTCCCAGAGAATAACTTCAGGAGTCAAAAGAAATGTTTACATAAAAATGCTATATAGACTGAGAATGTAGGGCAATGTCATAATTCAACAACTATGTTTCTGCTCCTAAGTGCTAAACACTTGTAGTGTTTACAAAGAATAACTTTTGATCCTAACTTCATATTGCTTAGAATGATTGGACAATCACGAGATGTTTATGTAAATAGATAAGAATCGAGGGTTGACCAAATTTATTTGGTTTTCTAAAATGCCAAGTACATTTCTAAAAATCATTGTATAAGTTGCCCATTGGCTTTTTTTCCCTAAGAGGGGGAAGAACACTCACATGAAGCTTTATGTATCTCAAGAAAACACAATAAACACATTTGGTGTGTGTTTCTCATGGTGCAGAATAGGTTGTCCCACAGGCTTATGAATGTGTCTGTTTTACGTGGATTAAAGAACAATGAACACACAGAAAATGAATCTTTGGGGGAAACTGGCAAAATTGGAAAAGCGGAAACGTTTAAAAATCTCGAGGGAACAAGGACTAACTCATTATTACATCTCCTGGTTAACGGGTTAATGAGCCCTGCAAGAGCTACAGTAGGTCGGTAAAGTTCGCGGAAAGCTGCTCCCTGGCTTGACTAAATACCCTAGTTACACTTTGAGGATTGTGACAAAACAAATTCAATGCCTCACAGAGGGCCAGTGTGGTGGCGCACCTACTGGGTCTGGTCCCTGCCCTGGGGGCGGGGGGGGGGGGCGTCTATTAATCTCACTCTCAAAAGTCTGGCACAATAGGTTGCAGTCTTGACTTCTGGTGACCACAAAACAGACCACAGTGTCAGCCCTGATAACAAAAGGATCGTGAGTATTTGCCTAGAACCAGAAAGGTCTTTTTTCTTTCCACCCTGGTTTCCAACTTCCGATTCCACTCACTCCCTGGGCAAAGCGCCAAGCCAAAGAGAAGCCCTGTCCACTCCCCCAAGACAGCAGTCAGCCAGTCGCAGCCTGAACATGCAACATTTCAAGACAATCAAAAGCAGAGATGAAATGGCAGAGGCTTGAACTTGTGGTTCCCAAGCACAGCCGCATCTTCCTGGAGTCCTCCACTCCTTAACCATCACCTTCCAGCTGCTTAAAGTAAAAACCACCAGAAAGCTGAGGTTGCTGCTGTCTCAGAAGCTGACTGTCCCCAAGCACTTTCTAAAACTAAACAACATTCTGTCTCTTGCAAACCGTCCCGATAAGAGCGGGCCCTGAGTCCCAGTATAACTTCAGCAGGATTGCAGAGGGTGCACAGGCCAGGAGTCCGACAGAGGGGCGGGGAACTCACTCTCCCGGAGCGCCACCCCAGCTGCCCTCGGACCGCGTGGCGGCGACGCAGCGCACCGGACCAGAAGTAAGACCGCGCCCTCCTGCGGGCAAGAGCTACCGAGCTGGAGACACAGACATCCTGAATGGGACAGCGAGGGTGGGGATCCCTCCAGTGCGTCCTGCGCGCTCACGGGTCCTTAGCCCTGAGCTGCAGATTCAAGGAGGGACCTCCACAAGCCGGTCCGGGAGGAGGGACTGATCCCAGAACCGGGACTCAACCAGGCACTTACCAGCTGCAGCGCGCAGAGACAGATGAGCGAGCAGCGCCCGGTGCAGCAGCCCATGGTGTGGCCGGCGTCCCAGCAGCGCGGCTCCAGAGAGGTCTGCGAGCTCAGTCAACGTTGTCTGTGACTCCAGAGCAGCCCGCGTTGCGCTTCCTGACTGGGCGCAGGCTCTGGGCCCCGCGGCTAGCTTTCGGCTTGCAGCAGTCGGGCTAGGGCTCGCCGCCGCCTTTGTTAATCTGCACGCAGGGCAGGCGGAGGTCAGTGCGGCGCTCCGAGCTGCTCGACTGCCGGGGGTCCCTGCCTCCTAGCGCGCGCGGATCTGCTTCTTGGGGAGGGGGAGCCGGGCGGGAGGGCGGGGGACCGAAGAGGCTACAGCTGGTGAGTGGGTGAATGCCTTTTAGGGGAGGGGAGTGTGCTGGAGGTGGGCGTCTGGAAAGTGCGGTGGGCTGTCTGAGTAGGCGTGTGAGCTTGTGTGCTTGCGACTCTCTCTCTCTCTCTCTCTCTCTCTCTCTCTCTCTCTCTCTCTCTCTCTCTCTCTCTCTCTCTCTCTCTCTCTCTCTCTCTCTCTGTGTGTGTGTGTGTGTGTGTGTGTGTGTGTGTGTGTAAGAGAACGCCACTGGGGAGGATCGCCTTGGCTTGTTAGGAGTCTGAGGAGAGAGAAAGAGACTGTGAGAGAATGAGAATGAATATGAATGAGTAAGAATCTGGGAAGCCCCCAGGGATTTGTGTCCCTGGTGCCCGGAGCAATTGCTGGAGTCGCAGGCCTTGTGTTTTCCCTCTGGATGTGAAGAGTGGGGTAGTAGGGTGGAGGCGTCTGCAAAACTGGGAGCTAGGTTTAGCCAAACGACTTCCAGGAGGTACTGGTTCAGTTTGGTGTATGCAGAAGAAGTGTCCAGAGACTTGAAGCTCAGAGTGAAAGCGCTCTACCCAACGCAAGGGCAAGGTCGGGGCAGTGGATGCAGACGCGGAAGGCAGGCAGGAGCGCTGATCATGACGCTAAGAGGCAGCTCAATAAGGGTCCTAGCACGCAGCTCAGGGTTTGGGTCGTGGTCACTCCCCCACCCCACCCCTGCTCAGGGCGCCCCTGCTGGAATCTTATAGGAAAAGTTGGCTAGAGTCGCAACAGAGAATAATGTTCTCCCAGGAGCTCAGAGACCAGAGACACTGTGAAAATTGGCTTAAGGCTCTGATTCAAAGTGCCCTGGGAATCTTCACTGAGACATTCATTGACAAGGGGAAGGGAGGGCAATGCATGATCTTTAAATAATAATGAGACATTTTTAGAATAAACGCAAATATGATGTTGTACAGAGAAAAATAAATTGAGAGGAGTCTGAGAGTAAAGCCTAATCCTAGTTAGTTAAGACACCAGACAAACTCTATGAATTCTCAAGAAACTGTCTCCCCTGCCCAACAGAATAGAGCCTGGGAGTTCTGCAGAGACTCAAATTTCCACAGGGCTCAGCACAAGTAGCTAAAATCACTCCACAAGAACCAGGAATAAAACCCTGACCAATTTCTTCCAAAGAGGTGGACTTCAGAACAAGGCTCGAAACACTATTTTTACCCCACTGCTGCCCTCCTGGTTTGTAGATTAAGAAAAGGAGAGGGCTAGGTGGTATCTCATGCCTTCTGTCTCAGCACTCTGGAGGCATAAGTCAGCTGGTATCTTTGAGTTGAAAGCCAGCCAGGTGGGGAAGGAGAGGAGAGGTGAGAGGTCTTTGTGGTACCTTCGCTCTATCCTTGGAGACTGTTCAACCCATTCAGGCTTCAGGCATTAAAGATATTTGGTTTTGTTTATCTTGTAGTTAAGGGTCCTGTTCTTTAAATTTTTTTCTACAGCATGTATTTTTTTCTAATATCATTACAAAGAAAAATCTACTCATGATATCTCTGGAATTATATAGTAAGGACACACAAGTTATCTCAAATTGCTGCCAAAGAAAAAGGCAAGAATGTTCATTGTTGAAAGTCCATTTCTCTTCATTCTTGTGAGAACGGGGAAGTGTAGTCAGAATTCTTTTTATTTATGTTTTAACCCAACTTTAAGACATCCGTGATCAAGGACTGTGAGGGAGTGCTGGTTTTATACACATAAGCTCATTCATGGCTATCACTAATGAGTGAAAGCAATAAAAAGACAGACAATGACAAACAAATAGTTAAGTATATGGGAAAAGACCTGTAGAAAGTCTCAGGCCGTTGACTACTCTAGTAGTTGAAGGAAAAGGCTGCAGAAGGGGGAACAGATAACTCTGCTAACGTCTTCCATAAACTATAGCTGCCACTTTATGTCCTGAGGTTGTGATGAATCATGTGACGGAACCAGTGGTCCTTCTCGCCAGCTCATACCACAGTGCATTTTACTTGTGATTTAATTCATTTATTTAGAAAGCACTGTAAAACAACTAACATGCACCCAATGCTTGCCAAGTGTCAGGCACTAGCCTCTGTGCATATTCATTCATTTGATTCTCACAACAGTCTCAATGAAGTAGAAGCATGGACAAGCTGTGGATGCAGGTAGAGAAAGTTCTCTCTCTGATGACCACAGGGAGGCACAGGGATGTAAAGGCAGTCAATCTGACTGGGAAGTTTCTGGACTTCCACTCACCTTGCTGTCACTAAAACCTAAGGCACAAAAGTACTTATCTATAGTGGGGGGGCACGTGGGGAAGCATGCGGGGGTCAGGGGTGCTCTCCTAAAAGAAGCTGTGGTGATTTGTACTGGGCCAGCCCTCAGAGGCAGTGTTACCAGGTGGGATGGTTTTAGAAGACCTGAAGCCTGCTTGTACTTCTGCCTCATCCCAAAAGACCAAGATTGGAAATTTGTCCTTGTATAATTCAAACAGTTGAAAATGCATTGATTTTTCATGCATTTTTTAAAAAAACAAGGCAACTTTAATAACAAGTCAAGGTTTATAAAGCTATAGTATTTACTGGTTGCATCCTTTATATCTTCTCTTTTAAATGATACTAGAAATCCTGAACTGATGACATAGTAGTTATTAAATATATTTGCGTAGGTACAGGGATTTTTGTTGCTGTTCATTTGTTTATTTCTCCTAATGTATCTTATTTATTTATTATTTATTTACTTATTCATTCATTCATTTATTTTGGCAAAGCTCCTTCTAGAAACTCTAATTCTTTCTCCCCTAGTCCCATGAGATTTGCAAATTAAAAGGCCTGCAAGGGGCAAGAAAGCACACCTTTAAAAGTCAGACTTGAAAGTGAAGGTTTCTGTGTTTCTAAGTTGAGTGGCTCTTATTCAAGGAGCTTAGGACCAAAGGTATTGCGGAATATTTTCATAAACCTAACAAGAGAGTTAAGGGATAGGACACAAGTCTATACAAGAAATTCTGTCATCCTTCGTCTACATCTAGTCTGAAGGAATTTGTAAATGGGCTTGAGCCTTGACTACAACATGAAGTCAGATGTGGAGTTTCGTACCTGTGACATCATTCTGACTCTCAAAATTTTCTGAATTTGGAGTGTTTCCTTTGAGAAACTGGTTTCCTGTTTGTCCTTAAATAAAGACTCAGTCTTAAAGTTTCCTTTCAACTCATTTATGGCCTTCCTATTTCTTTTGCAACACTTCTTGGGATCCTCAATACATAACTAATGCAAAATAATAATGCATAATGTGCTGTGTGTATTGAAGGCTTTTACAATTCTAAATCTATTGCTTATGAAAATCATTTTAATTATTGCCTTAGTCACTGTTCTGTGACAGTAAAAAGATACCATGACCAAAGCAACTCTTGCAAATTAAGCATTTAATTGGAGAACTGCTTGCAGTTTCAAAGGGCTAGTCCCTGATCATCTTGGCAGGGAGCATGGCAGTGCAAAGCAGATATGGCCCTGAAGCAGTAACGGAGGGCTTTATATCCTGACCCAGGCAGTGGGTAGAGAGAGGAGAGAGCCACTGGCCCTGGCCATGGTCTTTTGAAACCTCCAAGCTCACTCCCAGTGACACACCACCTCCAGCATGGCCACACATCTTAATCCTTCCCTAACAGCTTACCAATTGGGGAATAAGCATGCCAATGTATAAGCCTATGGGGAACATTTTCATTCAAACCACCACAGCTATCATTTTCTTTTCCTTGTATTTTAGTAGGCACATAAAATTCTAAAGAATTACACAAGTACACAAAATATACTATTTGTCTTATTTTTAAAAAGTTAAGATAAACTTACAATTCAAAATGAATACTATTTTACTTTTTTCCTGTGTGTTTAAATGTTTGTTTTTCTCTATTTGGCATAGGGGGTAGAAAACAGGGTCTTTCTTAAGCTCAGTCCATACAACATACTCTGTTGATGATCTGAATCACTCATTGTCCCATTGTGCATTTTTATTCAGGTATTTGAGAAGAGTTTCAAGCAGCCATTAAAAGTAGCAAGAAATACATAATGTCCAATAAATTAGTAACAAGAGAATGAGCAATCATTTCTTTAGTCTGTACTGTGATATTATAACTAATGACTCCTGAGAGAGGAAGAATTAGCCTCATCCAGAGATGAATCCCTAAGTGGTTATCCAATACAAAATGGTCAGCCCTGAAACCACACACACACACACACACACACACACACACACACACACCGGGGGGGGGGTGTTCAGCAGGTTGTATTTATTTTGTTGTACCTACTATACACACACGTACATGTGCAGATACATAGGCTGACATTTACGTATTTAACAATAATAAAAAGAGGCTATCAATTTGAGAATGGGGTTCCATGGAGGAAGCTGGAGGGAATGGACTTGGGAGGGGCTGGAGAGAGGAAAGTGAAGGGGAAAGTGATGTAATTATGTTTTATTTAAAAATGTAGAAAAATTTAACCCAAGGTAATCCACAGATCACAGAAGTGAAAAGGAAACCTCTTTATGAAGTTTTTTTTTTTTAATCTTATGTAGCATTTTGCAACCATAAAGCTCATTTGGATATTTCAAAATGTGCTTCTGGAAATGGGAGGTGGCATTTGAAGCTAAACTGTATCTACCAGCTCGCTTTGCATTTAGAGTCCACATGTGCCCTCAGTGATGCTGTAGGTTCATCTGAAAGAAGTCTAACACCATGAGAGAGCACACTCCCACTGTGTGTGTTTTCAGCCGTGTATTTTCTGTAATGTGCCTACATTAAGAGGAGATGAGGAATTGGTGGATTTTTGAGAGGAAAAGAGAGAAACACAGCTAAGTTTTTTTTCTTACTCAATATAAAGATGGATTTATCAAAATAAAATAAAAGCATAACTATACACAAATCCACCTTCTGGTTAAAAACAACACAGACACTTTAGGTACTCAGGTGTGGTCAGGCCTCTGCCACTGTAGCAGAGAACAAAACACACAAATTAATATCACCAAGCAACAAAGCCAGTCAAGGTAACTCTTTAAGGACTAGGGTCAGGTGGAGATGGGAACAGGAGGGATCAGATTAGGGGGTGGGGAAGGAAAGAGTTTTGGGAGAGATAACTGGAGAGGGAGAGGAAGGAGCTCACCTCAGCTGTGGTTAAGCTTGGGAGAGGATCAAACATATAAAAACACAGTTTGAAAATTATAGCTAGGGGGAAAGGACCTGTGATTCATGCAGACTATAAGTGATTGCTCTTGGCTGCCAGTCTCTGAAGCCCGAACCTCCTCTCAGTCTGGGTAGATTGGAGGCTTTGTGCCTAGATACATGGTTCTAGCATGCTATCATATGTTGTAGTCCAATGAGCCCCACAATCACTCCAGACCCCAGAGGTTTAGAACAAGTAACCAACACATCACTAGTAATCTCTCTCTCTCTCTCTCTCTCTCTCTCTCTCTCTCTCTCTCTCTCTCTCTCTCTCTCTCTCTCCCTCTCCCTCTCCCTCTCCCTCTCCCTCTCCCTCTCCCTCTCCCTCTCCCTCTCCCTCTCCCTCTCCCTCTCTCTACCTCCCTTCCTCCTTCCCTCCTTCCTCCCACCACCATCTCTTAGCTGTCAGTTATCAGCAAACACAGGTAAAACTTAAGGAAAGTAGTCTCACCAGATAAGATAAATACCCTGAATTTTAGTGGCTGAAGTTATGAAAATTTATATCTTAATTATAGAAGCATTCTTCATTGATAAGGACTTTCCATGTGACATCCCAGTGAATTATATCTGTGATCTGTATGAGCTGTAGCTCCACACTTCTCCTGATTAGCTGACGTGGGGATAAAGTAAGATAATGTTACATGTGAATTTTTAAAGACTGGATATGAAAGAAAATATCATTTCTTGCCACATTAAAGGGTTACAACCATCACGTGACCACAGGCAATTAGAAGGAGACTAGAAATTCTGACCCAGCCACAAATAAGAGGAAAGTGGGTTGATTTCAAGGACAGGTGGATCTATGAAAACATTTTTCCATCTAAACTCATTTTTTTCTATAGTCTTCTTTGGTGATGTGCCCCCCCCCACACACACACACTCACAGAGAAAGCATTTTTCCAATCATGGTCACTAAGTGCAGATGCTGTCTCCTCTGAAAGACTCCACATACAAAACACTGTTCGTCTTGTTCCATTTCCACCTTAACAATATTTACTTTGTTGAGTTAATGAACTATAACAACATTTTCTATATAGTTAGGGTGATGCATATTGGTGAATTGGAAGGTATTTTTTGAGCTCCTCAAAGAATATAATTCCTTACTCTTCTGCTTTGATAAATAGTGGCACCATGATGATAATCCTTCAAAAAGCAGAGCATTGACCACCCAAGCAGCACCTGGATTGCTACACTGAGCACCTGTCCCTAGTCGATCGTGTCTCCTCTCTTGCCCTAGGGGACACAACGTACCTCTCTTCCATTCTGACCTTAGGTTTGCTTGTGTGGTTCAGTTTGGCTCCACAACTCTGGGCAGATAGCTGTTCCAGGCTTGTATTTGTTGTATTATTTCCTTTTCTCATCACTGCTGGGACCAAATGCCTAACAGAAGAAGCTATGGGGAGGGCAAATTTGCTTGGGCTTACAGTTGAGAGGGTACAGCCCATCATGAAGAGGAAGACATATCTGGGCAGGGCTAGTCATGCTGTTATGATTTTGCAGCAGCTACTTTATAAATTGATATCAGGAAGCAGAAAGATTGGGCCAGAAGCACAGCTAGGCTATGCCTTAAAGATCCATGCCCGGTAAGCCATCTCTATAAGACTTACCTTCTAGTCCACACATTCAAAGATGTCCCAGTGCAGCCCAATCATCTATAGAACAACTGTTGAAACACAGGAGCCTAGGAGATAATTCACATTCAAATCGTAACAAGGGTAGAGCATGCTCCTTCACCTTGCTAATGTTTCTTTTATCTGACATGAAGAGTATTGTGCCTAAATTATTGCTGTTCTTTCTGTGTTCTAGAAACAGACACGGGTGTGGGGGGCAGACTTAAAGCCAAGCCCACTGATCTAGTTTCCTCTTTCTTTCTGTGACAGAACACCATGACCAAAAGCAACTTAAGGAAGGAAAGGATTGTTCTGTGTTGAGGTCACAATCCATCACTGAAGCAAGTCAGGGTAGGAACTCAAACAGGAACTTTAAGCAAAAATCGTGGTGAATTTGTTCACTCACCCAGACTCATGTTCAGCTAGTTTTATTATATAGCTCAAGGTCATCTGCTCAGGAAGCAGTACTGCCTACAGTGGGTTAGGCCC